ATTTAAGGACCTGAGCTCGTTACGTCTTTCTGTAGATTCTTCACGCAGTCAGAGGAATCTGTTTCACAACACTGTCTTTTTACTTGTCTTTGTAGTCATCATTATTATAGTGGTCAAGGGCAGCAGCCTCTTGGGCTTCCAAGGCATTAACTTTAATAGGTAGTTCATTACAGTCAACGGCGGGGTTAGTAACTTGATTAATTGTGACACCAGTGCATGCCTTGGATTACCAGCACCCGTTTCCTACTTGTAAGGACTCAGCACTGTGCTCAAGCCCAAAGACTATGATGCGTTAACTAATATAAGGCTTAAAAATATTTTAAGAGATGTATAAGGAACAACTGCAGAAAGCAGCTACTATATTTAAGGCCAATGAACTTGAAGATCAAACTCCTCTGTGGAGAGTGCATGCGTGCCACAGGACCCTTTACCACCTACCAGTGGTAAAGAAATTTGCCAGAGGACAAGTGTCACAGCTGGTCTAGGAAATCCTTTGTTATAATGGTAGGAAAAAAAAAAACATTAATCTGCTAATGTCTAGACACCAAAAGGAAGCAAAGTTCCTTCCTTCTGCTTTGGCCTTGCAGTGTCCCTCTAGTACCTTTACTAGAACAAATCAAATCAGTTGGCAAAGGAAAAATGCTTATAGGATTCAGCTTCAATAAAAAATGATGGGATTAAAATGGTGAATTTGGGGCTAAGCAGCAATAAAATTAAGAAAAAGTTCTTATTCTATTTCATGGATGTAACTGCCGTCTATATGCTGTTGCCTCATATTTTTATATCTCTTGCCTGTACCCCCTGATCTCCAGAGAAGAATTAATATGTCAAACTGGCTCTTTGCTGTCTTCAATTGAACTTCTTAGGCATCCTTACCCAAAGTGGTACAGAAATGAATACTTGTACCTTGTCTGGTTTCTCTCATATCAGTAAATGGCATCACCTTTGAAGCAGAAACCACCACTTACTCTACACTCAGTTGGTTAAAGTTCTTTCATATGTATTTTCAAACATGTCCAAATCCTACCACTTCTCATCATTTCCACTGCTGTCATCCTGCTCCAGGTCATTTCTTGACTCTCAGATCTCAAATTACATCCTACATTTCTTCATTGCCAGTTTATGCTTGTTAATTAGATGACTACTTATTCTCATTCTGTAACAGCTGTACCCCATCCCTCTTCCATCTTATTTCATGAAAGATTCAAAAGCCTTAGGGTTTTTGTATGCTTGCTGCATCTCTTGCTGTCAGAGTAAGCCCATTGTTGTGTATTTATCAGTGTAGTACTAACCTTTTTTAAAAAAAATTAATACTAATTTGGAGGGAAATGGATGGCATTAGAGCAGATTATGCTAAGTGAAGCTAGTCAACCTTTAAAAAACAAATACCAAATGACTCCTTTGATATAAGGGGWGKAAACAAGGACAGGGTAGGGAMGAAGAGCTTGAGAAGAAGATTTACATTAACAGGGTTGAGAGGTGGGAGGGAAAGGAAGTGAGAAGGGAAATCGCATGGAAATGGAAGGCGATCCTCAGGGTTATACAAAATGACATATAAGAGGAAAGGAGGGGTAAGACAAGATAATACAAATGGAAGAAATGATTTACAGTAGAAGGGGTAGAGGGAGAAAAGGGGGGGGGAGGGGAGGGGGGATAGTAGAGAATAGGACAGACAGCAGAATACATCAGACACTAGAAAGGCAATATGTCAATCAATGGAAGGGTAACTGATGTGATACAGCAATCTGTATACGGGGTAAAATTGGGAGTTCATAACCCACGTGAATCAACCATGTAATATGATGTATTAAGAACTATGTAATGTTTTGAATGACCAACAATAAAAAAAATAATACTAACAATTAATAATATTAATATAATTTGCATAGTTTTGAAGCTTAGATTTTTCTCTTTAACTAATAATTACCTATTGCCAAATTTCCCTTTTGTTTTGTTTTGTTTTGTTTTCAAATATTCTCATCTGTTAAATTAAGAGTGTCTCCCATAGAAAAGCAGTGGAGGCCCCATAGGGAAATACAAAGCAGAATTAAAACTCCCAAGGGTTTTGTCTTTACAAAAGAAAAGGCAGGACCTATTGTCAGATTTTAAAAAACATTTTATAGCATTTTTAAAAGATGGCCTCATTTCCTAAATTTCTGATTTCTTGGGTAGAATCTACTAAGATAGCAGTTTTCTCCCCCCACCCCCAAAAGTTTCCACTTATGTCATTGGCATTTGTTAGTTAATAGGTAAAATCTCTTATTCTTTTTCATCAACTTAATTTCTGTATTGTTGCATTTTTTAATATTTATTTTTTAGGTGTAGATGGACACAACAGATTGCCTTTATTTATGTGGTGCTGAGGATCGAACCCGGGTCCCACCTGCTCTAGGCAAGCGCTCTACCGCTGAGCCACAATCCCAGCCCTGTGTTGTTGCTTTTTAATAGTTCATTTTATTCAACAACTAAAGTCAGACCAGTACACTGCCTTATTAGGGAAAACCATTCCTGTATACCATCTTGTATGTTGGAATAGATTATGTCAGGTATCAGAACATTCTCTTTTATTCAATGTATTCACAAGAGAGGATTGAATGGAGGTAGAAGGGCAGATCCTTGCATATGAGGAAAGTTGTGTTAAAGTTTCAACACATCTTGGTTTAAGTGGAGTGCCAGGGTAAGTTGTTGCACATAACACACACTTCCTCACTGCCTGCAACCCCAGTTCCTGTCTGCCTTTTCCACCAAACAACTCTGAGACAACCTAAGCCCAGAGGTTACCAATGGATTGAGTACAATGGGGAAGACACCTTACTTCTACTCTTTGGGATTAAATGGTCTAGAACCGAGTAGGGGAACTATGGCCAAAAACAAGTGAAGATTTTTAAGGAAACTTTGATAGAAATAAGAATGACATATGAATTCAAATCCAGAAAAAAAATCCTACTGGGGAGAAATAAAATCGTAGCTGATGTTCTAAAAAAATCCTATAAGAAAGGGTTGGGGAATGACCTTTTATACACAAGCTCTAAGAACCCTGGACACAACAGGAGCTTTGTCTAACACAGTTTGGGTCTACTGAGCCAGGTTTCTTGAGAGCTGCCTAGCAGGTAGCCTACCTCATATATCACATCTGTCTGGCTCAGTCTGCAGTGAGTCCTTCAGCTCCATCAAAGTGCTCTCCAATGTGTTATAGTCATCCTTTTTTGTTTTTGTTGTTTCTTTCTTTTTTTATTTATTATTGATTGTTCAAAACATTACAAAGCTCTTGACATATCATATTTCATACATTTGATTCAAGTGGGTTACAAACTCCCATTTTTACCCCATATACAAATTGCAGAATCACATTGGTTACACATCCACGTTTTTACATAGTGCCATACTAGTGTATGTTGTATTCTGCTGCCTTTCCTATCCTCTACTATCCTCCCTCCCTTCCCATCTTCTCTCTCTACCTCATCTACTATAATTCATCTCTCTCCCTTGTTTTTTTCCCTTTCCCCTCACTTCCTCTTATATGTAATTTTGTATAACGATGAGGGTCTCCTTCCATTTCCATGCAATTTCCCTTCTGTCTCCCTTTCCCTCCCACCTCTTGTCCCTAGATAATGTTAATCTTTTTCTCATGCTCTTCCTCCCTGCTCTGTTCTTAGTTGCTCTCCTTATATCAAAGGAGACATTTGGTATTTGTTTTTTAGGGATTGGCTAGCTTCACTTAGCATAATCTGCTCTAATGCCATCCATTTCCCTGCAGATGCCATGATTTTGTCATTTTTTGGTGCTGAGTAATACTCCATTGTGTATAAATGCCACATAAAGCTCAATTCCAGGAAATTCTTGACACATTTGCTCTTCTGACCGGAGGGGAGGGACTTATGTCACCTGGATAGCTGGGGTGATTTCAGGGGAATGAGGTCTCCAGCTGATGGTTGGTGCTGGTGAGTTCCCAATTCTTGCCTTGACCATGGTGGCCAGCTCACTTAGGGTCTCTTGATGGCACAGGTACTCACTCTAGCTAAATACCCCTGTCTCACAGCAGACTAGTGCCTGGCCATTTAGCAGGGTATCAGTGAGGGTCTTCCATACAACCTTGAAAGGAGTAATAGTGTTTCACAGATCTAGCAAGGAGGAACAGAAATTATTGCCCATTAAGGAATGGTGGTGCCAGCCTTCAGCATGAAACGGGGTCTCAGAGGCAAGGATGGCATCCAAAACTTTCATCTTGTACAAATAGTTGTAGCAACTTTGATTTACCTGAGTTTCCAGTTGTAGCAGGCTTGCGTCTGCAAGGAGCTGGGATTCATACTTGATGTTCTGAACACTGAAGAGTTGAGTGTCATTCTCCTCTTTTAAGTCTTTGGGAACATTGTGTCCCACAGGGACATGGGGTCCTGTTGTAGGTTCATTTGCAAGTGCATGATTGCTTCTTCACAAAAATAAATAGCAGTACAAATATCAGGCTCCTATAGGCCATCACATGCACCCAGGCACAACATTCACCCAGGACTGCCTCCCCACACAGAACTGCATGGTCTTCCCACTGCTCTGCCTTGTTAGCCAAGGATGTAGGGAAGCAACCATGCCTGGATTCCCTGGAGTTTGCCGGCCATTTGCTTATGGGGGGGAGATCAAGCCAGACCTTGTCTGAAAACAAGGTGCATGGGGGACTAGGAAAGGAGGATGACACCTTCCTGTAACCCCTCCCAGCACTTGGCTCAGACAGGCAATCTCAACTTTTTTTTCAACTTAATTTCTTTTAAGACAAATATCAGTACTCAGTTTGGTTACATTTAGAAATGAGTTTAATTTTTTTTTTTTTTTAGAATTTCTTACTGGAATTTTCATAGAAAACTTCATCTGCATCTCTTGACTCCTTTTTTATGTTGATTTGAAGCCATAATAAATATAGGCATCCTCTTTGAAATTAAAGGTCCTTCAAGTACGTATTTTTTAAAAAAGACAATTTCCTAATACATACTCTTTTCTTCCTTTACCAGGTGGAAGATGTTGCTGTTTTTCTCCTGATGGAAAAGCTTTAGCTGTAGGTCTCAATGATGGAAGTTTCTTAATGGCAAATGCAGATACTCTAGAGGATCTTGTGTCTTTTCACCACAGAAAAGATATTATTTCAGACATTAGATTTTCACCTGGTAAGATTGCATTTATTTGATTATTAACTTTGGTCTGAATATGAGTAAATGTATCAATGTGTGGTTTATATTAGCTTGTTTTATTTTGGAATTTTACTTTTTTGACTAGAAGGAGCAGTATGGTAAGAAGTAAAAGCCCTGTATTTGATTATGCAAATATCTTGCTTAGTGCTAATTCTTATTACTAAATTTTCCATATGACTTGGGCCAGGACACTACTCTGAACTTCACCTTTCTCATTTGTAACATAAAAAGAGCTTGACTGTTTTCATGACATTCTTAATATTCTTAGTGCTTTTAAAATTGTATTACTTTGTGCTGGGGATGTAGCATGACATGTGAGAGACCCTGGTTTAATCCCCAGCACCACAAGGAAGAAAATGCATTAATTTTACTCATTCATACCAGTTTTCTTGCAGTCATTATTTATTACAAAACCTACTATAGGGCTGGGGCTGTAGCTCTATGGTAGGGCACCTGCCTCACACGTATTAGACACTGGGTTCGATCCACAGCATCACATAAAAATAAAGATATTGTGTCTATCTATAACTAACAACATTTTTTAAAAAAAACCTACTATAATACAGTTTTTTTAAAAACCTACTATAATATATTATAATATAATACAATATTAAGCAAAATTTACTTATGTTGGTCTAGATCTTTTTTTTTTCTAAATTTAAAGAGTTTTTTTGGTCATGAAAACATACCAAAATTACATCATATATAATTTTGACAGTTTGCTCTCCACTGAACTAATTTGTTTCACTAAAATTTATTTTATTTTGTTATTTTTTTAAAATTATAGATGGATACAATACCTTTATTTTATTTATTTATTTTTATGTCTTGCTGAGGATCAACCCCAGTGCCTCACACATGCAAGGCAGGCACTCCACCAGTGACCTACAGCCCCAGCCCCTTGTTAGTTATTAATATACTTGAAAATGTTATCATTTATCATTTAATACATCTGTTCAGTACTAGGTAACTTATGAAGCACCTAAGATTTCTCCAAAAACATATTAAGAAAATTAACTCTAGTTGCCGAGTGTAAAAACATTTCCACAAGTAGAAAATGCCAAAATATGTTTCTGTTGTAGGATCTGGGAAATATCTAGCTGTGGCATCCCATGACAGCTTTATAGATATATATAATGTAATGAGTAGTAAACGAGTGGGAATATGCAAAGGAGCTACAAGTTGCATAACCCATATTGATTGGGATATTAGAGGTAAGACTTTAAACAGTTTAATATTTAATAAAAGTTTGATTTATAAATAAATTTTATTACACTAAAATTTGACTTAGTGTAGCTACTTTAAAGAAACAAACATGATTTGTTTGGATCTTGTTAGAATCAAAAAACCTTGTGAAAAATAAACTGTATTCTCAAAATTATTCTCCACTACTTTATTTTACATCTAAAAGGGAATGCTATAAACTTTCTTAGTACTTTACCTTATGTCATTCAAATGACAGTACAGTAATAAGTTATTTAGTTTGGGGAATAATATAAATATATTGTACATAAAGATTTTTAGTTAGATAATGTACTAGTTATTATCTGATAAATTTGACAAACTTCAAATTTGGAAATATAAATGTTAATGAGTATTTTAACCTCCTTTTCCTATTAGTTAATATGCATTTCCATAATTATATAGCATAATTTAATGAGGATCTTTGTATTTTATGACAGTGTTTGATAAGTTAAAATAAATGTTAAATATTTTAAATGCTACCTTTAAGGGTTATATTTTTATATTTTCAACTTTAAAACTTTAATATTTTAAATTAAGGATTCTCTTAGGTATTGCTAAACAAAATACTTGCATGCATTTAAAAAAATTTTCAATATTTGTTTCTAAGATTTTTTCAATATGCCTAAAAACAAATAGCTTCTATGTATTTGCATAAATAAAAAATTAAGCTGTTTATGAATTTAATTATATGGAGATTAAGAAAATACAATATCTTAAAATATTTTGATTTGGAGAGGAAAATGTTTTTTTATACTTAAGCTTATTTTTTCCCATAAAATTGAAACATTATACTAATGATATAAGTATTTATATGATATAAGTATGTTCTATATATTTTTTATTTTTTTAAGGAAAGCTTTTACAGGTCAACACTGGTGCTAAAGAACAGTTATTCTTTGAAGCTCCCAGAGGGAAAAAACAAACCATCCCCAATGTGGAGGTAGGAGGACACTGGTGCTTGTAGTGGTGTTCATATGAGTAAAAGTGGTTGGAAAACTTATGCCTACTTTTCATCATTTAGTTACATGTGAAGTTTATTCTCACATTATTTGAATGATATTCTTGTGGTGTGTTTATTTTATTTGGCTAGAATGCGTGTAACTATGAAACACCTAAGATAGGTAAAGGAACAGATACTGTTTTAAGTAGAAGAATAAAGCTGGTATTCTAGCTATGCTAGAATCCCTTTCCTCAAAGGAAAAGAGGTACCCACTAGTCACTAGTAAGGGACATACCATCTGATTTGAAGTACTATACATCTGCCACATCTTTGGAACCCATATGCCTATGATGCTTATTAGTAGATTTCTCTTTTTAAAAAAAAAATTAAGTGTCTTTACTTTTTTGCCTGACAGTATTGGATTTTTTGTTTGTTTTGTTTTGGGGTGTTTTAGGCATGGCCTAGGAAAACATGCTCAGTAAATTTAATATAAAAGTGGCTTTAAAAAGGAAAAATGTATGGGCTGGGGAAATAGCTCAGTTGGTAGAGTTCTTACCTCACATGCACATGGCACCACACTCACACACACACACAAATAAATAAATTTAAAAAAGGAAAAAAAAAATAAAAAAGATTGTACCAGACAGATCGGGCGCGTTCAGGGTGGTATGGCCGTAGACTTTTTTTTTCTTTCTTACTTTTCTTTTCTTGCTCTTCTCATCCATTCTCCTCTACCCTTCCCCCTCTGGTCCTCACAACCTCAACATATGTGAAACCAAGAACTTTGCATGAAATTGGACTTTAAGAACTGAATCACCAGAATAGTATAATATAGAGGAATTGCATAGGCCCCACCTCACCCCCCCTTATTTTCTCTCTTTCTTTCTTTCCTTGTTATTTTTTCTTCCTCCTCTATCCCACTTTCAACCTCCTAACTTTTACTATTTATACATAGGATAATTTTCTAAATACAGATAAGGAGTTTGAATTTATACATTCTTCCGTAAATTACCCCTATCTATTCATTAGAGTTCTCCAAAGTTGCTAAATTAGATTAATCCCATACCTTCACTCCTTTCCCCTTTAACAATAGCATCCTACCCCTGACTCTGAGTTCTCTATACACCACCAGAAATGGTATGCCTTTTATGAAACTAATGACTATATTCTAAATAATAATTTAAGTCAACATCTGTAGACATAGTCTAACTATAAATGTATTAATAATGAAAACTTGCTCATAGATGATGTATTATTGGAAACTGTTAACATTGTTTCTCTCCACAAAAGAGAGATTTTGGAACTATACAAGAGCAATATAGATTTATAGGGGGAAAATATTAACACAACAGTCACACAGAGCTGGAAAGAAACGTGAGCAGCACAATTCACAATAGCTAGACTGTGGAGCCAACCTAGATGCCCTTCAATGGATGAATGGATAAAAAAAATGTGGCATATATACACAATGGAATAATACTCAGCACTAAAAAATAATAAGATCATGGCATTTGCAGGGAAATGGATGGCATGAGAACAGATTGTGCTAAGTGAAGTTAGCCAATCCCAAAAAAACAAATGCCGAATGTCTTCTCTAATATAAGGGGGGTGACTCAAAATGGGGTAAGGAGGAAGAGCAGCGGAAAAAGGTAACCTCTACATAGGGAAGAGGGGTGGGAGGGAAAGGAAGGGAGAAAAGGAATTGCATGGAAGGTGGAAGGAGACCCTCATCTTTATACAAAACACATGTATGAAGATGTGAGAAAAAAAAGAATAGTGTTTCCTTAGATTAGGTAGAGAGAAGTGATGGGAGGGGAGGGGAGGGGTTAGGGGGATAGGAAGGATAGTAGAATAAAACAGACATTATTATTAATATATGTGACTGCATGACTAATATGATTCTGCAACCTGTACACTCAGAAAAATGAGAAATTATATCCCATCTGATTCAAATGTATGATATGTTAAGGTACTGTCATGTGTAACTAATTAAAACAAAAAATTAAAATTTAAAAAAAAAGATTGTACCAGTTGAAAAACATAATGCATAATAGAAATTTAGACATGAACTGTTATGTTTCTTGATTATTCCTTTTTTTTTTTTTGTCCGTAAGGATAAATACAGGAGCACCCTACCACTGAGTTAAATCCCTAGACCTCTATGTGTCTTTATATATTTTACTTTGAGATAGGGTCTCCTTGAGTTGCCCAAGTGGGCCTCAATCTAGTGAACCTTCTGAGTACCTGGAATTACTGCACCACTGTGCCTGGTTGTTCCTCGATTATTCACTATCACTGTATGCTCAGCATCTTGAACACACAGTGAGGGCTGGGGATGTAGCTCAGTTGTAGAGTGTTTACCTAGCATGTGTGAGGCCCTGGGGTTGATACCCAACACAGCAAAAAACAATAAAAAGCCCAATAAAGAACACATATGGGGCTGGAGTTGTGGCTCAGTGGTAGAGTGCTCGCCTACCACTGGGGAACTGGGTTCGATCCTCAGTACCACATAAATGTAAAATACAGATATTGTATCCACCTAAAACTTAAAAATAAATATTTTTTTAAAAAAGAACACATACTAAATATATAATAAGGACTTCCTGAATAATATTATATTAAATTTTTTCTGCAAGAACTAGTAGACTGTGAGAAGCTTTAAAACCAAGCCAACTAATGATTTGTTTTTCTGTTAATATTTAATTTCACTTGTGACATGTAATAACAAAGATGAATGTTCAGATTTTGGTTGTCAATTTAGATATTACACAGTAATTTTCTCTTTTTAGGTAGAAAAAATTAGTTGGGCATCATGGACAAGTGTGCTTGGTCTATGCTGTGAGGGAATTTGGCCAGTAATTGGAGAAGTCACAGATGTAACTGCCTCTTGCCTCACCAGTGACAGAATGGTCCTAGCTACAGGCGATGATTTGGGATTTGTGAAGTTATTTAAATATCCTGCTAAAGTATGTATTTTTCTTTAACTTTCCTAGTGATCATAATTGTGAAAATGATTAAGATAATGTTCCTTCATAGTATTTCATTGTTGTAATAGGAATAATACATGTGTAAAATGTAATGTTATACCACAAAAGGTTCAGAATTATGTTTCCTATTCTTGGAACCATATTTATTTTTATCTAGAATAAGTATTATAATCTATGATTCTGTGCCTAAAGTTATATATTATATTTTACAGATTTTTTTAGTATTGAATAATGTAAATTTCCTTTTTAAAAACCTATTCCTTTTATTCCCAATATTAAATTAAGCTATTTAACTATTTTCATTATTTATAAATAAATAAACAAAGGTCCATCAATAACTAAAAAAGAAATTTTAAAAAAGAGAATAATATAAACTACATGTATAGCTTTTAAAGAGACAATGTTTTAACCAAATACTAAATACTAAAACCCCTATAAAATTAAACAACAGTGATTTAATGTGATTAATGATGTTTTATTAAAACCAAACTATACAGATTCTTTGGAGCTCTCTGTGTCTATGTTATGTTATGTGATTGCTCAATTCTTATTTCACTTTCCCATATTCAAACTACTGCAAAATGTTAGGCTTCTGTTTAGCACAAAAGTAAAATGTATGTACCAAAGCCAATAAACGCCTGCCTGCTTACCTTCTCTTCCTCCCTCCCTCTATTGCTTCCTCCCTCTTTCTTACTGGTCATTGAACCCAGGGCACTCTACCCATTGAGCTACACCCCCAGCCCTTTTTATTTTTCATTTTGAAATGGGTCTTGTTCAATTGCCCAGGCTGGGCTTTCTACTTCAGCCTCCTGAGGAGCTGGGATTACAAGTATGCACCACAGTGCCCACTTCAGATGTATTTATTTCTTAATTCCCATAAATTAAGTTATATATTATAATCTAGCACCAACAAGAACATAAACATAAATTTGAAATAATGCATCAAATCATTTTATGATATTCAGTTCATTTTTTAAAAATTTTATTATTATTTTTTATTTATATATAAAAGCAGAATGCATTACAATTCTTATCACATAATATATACCACAATTTTTCATATCTATGGTTGTATACAAAGTATATTCACACCAATTCATTTCTTCATACATGTACTTTGGATAATAATGATCATCACATTCCACCATCGTTTCTAACCCCATGCCCCCTCCCTACCCCTCCAACTCTTCTGCCCTATCTAGAGTTCGTCTGTTGCTTCCATGCTCCCTCTCCCTACCACACTATGAATCAGCCTCCTTATATCAAAGAAAACATTCAGCATTTGGTTATTTGGTATTGGCTAAATTCACTTAGCATTCATTAACTTCCCGACTCCATCCATTTACCTGCAAATGCCATGATTTTATTCTCTTTTATTGCTGAGTAATATTCCATTGTGTATATATGCCACATTTTTTAATCCATTCATCTATTGAAGGGCACTTAGTTTCGTTCCATAGTTGAGCTGTTGTAAATTGTGCTGCTACAAACATTGATGTGGCTGTGTCCCTGCAGTATGCTGTTTTTAAGACCTTTGGGTATAGACCGAGGAGAGGGATAGCTGAGTCAAATGGTGGTTCCATTCCCAATATTCCAAGAAATCTCCATACTGCTTTCCATATTGGCTGCACCAATTTGCAGTCCCAACAGCAATGTATGAGTGTACCTTTTTCTCCATATCCTCGCCAACGCTTATTGTTGTTTGTCTTCATAATAGCTGATATTCTGACTGGAGTGATCTATGCTAAGCCCCAGGCCAACATCATTCTAAATGGAGAAAAATTTGAAGACATTCCCTCTAAAAACTGGAACAAGACAGGGATGCCCTCTTTTACCACTTCTATTTAACATAATTATTTTTTTAAGAGAGAGAGAGAGAGAACTTTTAATTTTTTTTTTAGTTTTCGGTGGACACAACATCATTCTAAATGGAGAAAAATTTGAAGCCATTCCCTCTAAAAACTGGAACAAGACAGGGATGCCCTCTTTTACCACTTCTATTTAACATAATTATTTTTTTAAGAGAGAGAGAGAGAGAGAGAGAGAGAACTTTTAATTTTTTTTTTTAGTTTTCGGTGGACACAACATTTTTATTTTATTTTTTTTATGTGGTGCTGAGGATCGAACCCAGCGCCCACGTATGCCAGGCGAGAGCGCTACCGCTTGAGCCATATCCCCAGCCCTTAACATAATTCTTGAAACACTGGCCAGAGCAAGTAGACACATGAAAGAAATTAAAGGGCTACACATAGGAAAAGAAGAACTCAAATTAGCACTATTTGCTGATGATATGATTCTATACCTAGAATACCCTAAAAGTTCCACCAGAAAACTTCTAGAACTAGTAAATGAATTCAGCAAAGTAGCAGGATATAAAATCAACGGCATTTCTGTATACCAGTGATAAATCCACAGAAATGGAAACAAGGAAAACCACCCCATTTTCAATAGCCTCAAAAAAATAAAATAAAGGGCTGGGGATGAGGCTCAAGCGGTAGCGCACTCGCTTGGCATGTGTGCGGCCCCGGTTTGATCCTCAGCACCACATACAAACAAAGATGTTGTGTCCGAAAACTAATAAATAAATGAATAAATTCTCTCTCTCTCTCTCTCTCTCTCAAAAAATAAAATAAAATAAAATACTTAGGAATCAACTTAACGAAAGAGGTGAAAGATCTATATAATGAAAATTACAGAAACCTAAAGAAAGAAGTCAAAGAAGACCTTAGGAGATGGAAAGATCGACCTTGCTCTTGGATAGGCAGAATTAATATTATTAAAATGACCATACTTCCAAAAGCACTATACAGTTTTAATACAATTCTGATCAAAATCTCAATGACATTCCTCATAGAAATAGAAAAAGCAATCATGAAATTCATCTGGAAAAATAAGAGACCCAGAATAGCTAAAGCAATCATTAGCAGGAAGAATGAAGCAGGTGGCATCACTATACCAGACCTTAACCTATACTACAGAGCAATAGTAACAAAAATGGTATGGTATTGGCACCAAAACAGACTGGTAGACCAATGGTACAGAATAGAGGACACAGAGAGTAACCCTCAAAATTACATTAATTTATATTAGACAAAGGTGCCAAGAACATGCATTGGAGAAAAGATAGCCTCTTCAACAGATGGTGCTGGGAAAACTGGAAATCCATATGCAACAAAATGAAATTAGACCCCTATCTCTCACCATGCATAAAACTCAACTCAAAATGGATCAAGGACTTAGGAATAAAACCAGGGACCCTGCGTCTAATAGAAGAAAAAGTAGGGCCTAATCTCCATCAAGTGGGATTAGGCCCCAACTTCCTTAATAATTGACTCCTATAGCGCAAAAATTAAAATGAAGAAGCAATAAATGGGATGGACTCAAACTAAAAAGTTTCTTCTCAGCAAAAGAAACAATCTGTGAGGTGAAGAGACAGCGTACATCTTGGGAACAAATCTTTACCCCTCACACATCAGATAGAGCACTAATCTCTAGGGTATATAAAGAATTCAAAAAGTTAAACACCAAAAAAACAAATAACCCAATCAATAAATGGGCCAAGGACATGAACAGACACTTCTCAGAAGATGATGTACAATCAGTCAACAAATACATGAAAAAACATTCATCGAGATATTAGAAATACTCAATTCATTATGATAACACCCATATTATTTTTTGTAGATCAACACTGAAATGAAGACACAGGCTTAAAACTCATAGGAGGGCTGAGGTTCTGGCTTAATGGTAGAGCACTTGCCCAGCATGCGTGAGGCACCACATAAAAATAAATAAATGAAGATATTGTGTTCATTTACAACTAAAAATATTTTAAAAATAAAAACCTCCAGGGAAACTCAGATATTCAAAAACACTACATACACAGAGCCTACTTTAGATACATATATGAGCTAGAACCTTAGTAGATTAAGAACACTCTATTAAATAGACAATTATCAGTCAGAAACTTCATTCCAGCATTCCAAATGATGTAGATCCTTTAGGAATAAGTTTAGGATACTGGTCTACAGATTCCTTCCCTTCTTTACCTCAATGCTAATAAATCTACATAACAATTATTTTAATACATATATTTCTCCATATAATACACAGTATTAACTATATTGTTACTCCATTGAACAGTTGAGGTATTTAAATTTTTCACTGCTATAAGTAAATAATATGATAAGTATTTTTCACATACATAGCATGTTCTTAGCATAGATACCAAAAGGCAGATTAGTGAGACAAAAGTACGAACAGGATCTGTGTATTTATCTTAGTGATAGAATACTTGGCTAGCATGTGCAAGCCCTGGGTTTGATTCTCAGCAGTGCCAAATATATGTATGTATTTTTTAATGCTTTTAATGCGGAATACCACATTGGTTTCCAAAAAAGTTAATTGTACTAGCAATGTGTGAAACTACTAGTTTCATCCTATCCTCACCAGGTTTGGGAATTGTTACTCTTATTTAATTGGTTAAATATTAAAGTATTTAATTGGTTAAAACATTTTCTCTTTAGCACACTTGTTATTTTTTTATTCTAAGGTATTTCAATATTTTCTTGTGTTTTTATTTATGTTGCATTTAGAATGACTGACTTCAAAACATACATTAAGGAAAATTAAATATAACTAAAAATATAATTAGTTCAGAAATATAACTACAATTTTTCAAATAATGAAACTTCTCAGAAAAAGTTTGCATGCATTTTTATCATCTCTAGGGAAAATTTGGAAAATTTAAGAGGTATGTGGCCCATAGCACACATGTCACAAATGTTCGTTGGACTTATGATGACAGCATGTTGGTGACCCTAGGAGGTGCGGATATGTCTTTAATGGTATGGACAAATGAGATGGAAAGTTATCGAGAAAGAAGGCCTTGTGATAGTGAGGAATCTGATGTAGATTCCGAAGAAGGTGGAGGTATGTCATTTTAAAACATTTTAACAGAAACATATAAAAAATACAGCACTGATTTAAACTATAGAATTTAAAGTAATAATAATACTTTAATAACTGTGGTGTTGGGGCTGGGAATGTGGGTCAAGTGGTAGCATGCCTGCCTAGCTTGCATGAGGCCTGGGTTCAATTCTCAGCACCACATAAAAATAAAATAAAGATATTATATCCACCTAAAAACTAAAAAATGAATATTTAAAAAAATGATTGTGGTATTAGTGTTTTTGGCTAGTTTTACACAAAAATTGGCTTTATAATTCAAGAATAGCAGACTGGCAAGTATTAATACTTTTTATCATCTACAAATGTAAGACAACCATACTTTAAATAAATACTATTAAAATGAATTTTATATATTTGAACTTTATATTTTAAAATATTTTTCTTAATATACTAATAATACTAGCTCATTATATAAAATATATTTTGCAATAAAGAATAAACACAGACTTTATAATTCAACCACTCAAAGTTAATCTCTATAAACATTTGGGGTTTATCCTAAGGTATATGTGCATTTGTATACATAATTTTTTTAACATGAACTTGTAGCTTTTTTTTTTCTTTTTGGTACTGGGGATTGAACCCAAGGGCACTTCACTTTAACATTAACCTACATCCCCAACCATTTTTATTGATTATTTTGGGGTTTTTTTATACCAGGGATTGAACTCAGGGGCTCTTAACCACTGAGACATCCCCAGACCTTTTTTTAAATTTTATTTTGAGATAGGGTGGCACTAAGTTTCTTAGAACCTCAATAAGTTGCTGAGGCTGGCTTTGAACTTGGAATCCTGCTGCCTCAGCCTCCCCAGCAGCTTTATTTATTGAGACAGACTCTGATGAATTACTAAGGATCTTGATAAGTTATAGAGTCTAGCCTCAAATTTGTGATCCTCCTGCCTCAGCCTCCCATGTTGCTGGGATTATAGGTATGCATCATTGCACATGGCCTATAGCTTGCTATTATCTCTTAGTAATACTTAAAAAACATCATTATGTGGCTGGGGATATGGCTAAGTGGTAGAATGCTATGCCTAGCTTGCATGAGGCCCTGGGTTTTATCCCAAGCACTAAAAAATATATTTATATATAAAATATTTTACTACTTAATTTTTGCTGGATGCATATTCCATAATTTGATTATGGCACAATTTACTTGACATTGGACATCATTATATCTAAATTACAAGATCACAATTGATCTCAGTTATCACTTAAAGAATAACTTTTATATTTTGATGGTAGGCTATGATAGTGATGTTACAAGGGAGAATGAAATTACTTATACCGTCAGAGCCTTATCAACAAATATTCGCCCAATGTTTGGAACCAAGCCTCATTTGCAACAGAAAGAACCTTCAGCTGATGAGAGGTAACAATAAAGTTTAAAATTAAATGAAGGAAAAGATACTTGTATTAAAATTAAATTTGTTATTTAACTAAATGTGTTTCCTACAAATATTAAATATCAGTGATATTCTTGCTTTATTTGGTTGCCAGAACTCTTACAAAATGTTTGTCCTTAAATACTTTTTTAAAATATTTTTTTAGTTGTCAATGGACCTTTATTTTATTTATTGATATGTGGTGCTGAGAATCAAACCCAGTGCCTCACACATGCTAGGCAAGCACTCTGCCACTGAGCCACAACCCCAGCCCCCTTAAATACTTTATGGTGGTAACAGTGTCTTTTCAAGTAGTTTAGAGAATGTTGCCTTATATGTAGAAAATTTATATGATTAAAGTAACCTTACTTGCCAAGTGTGTTAAATATATTTGATGACATTGGGGAAGATAATAAAAATAGAATCCAGTGCCCAGAACCTTGTAGGAAGCATGTGTGCAGAGACATGATTCAGTTTTTAAATGGCCTATCTATCAACATGCCCTTAATTGAGGGTTGACAACATTTCAAAAATTTTTCAAAAAATGGCAGATTGAAGTATAGCTTGTTTTTAAAGGGAATTATTGATCTTGGTTTAGAATCAGTAAATTAAAAATAAGGATATATACACAGAAGTTTTATTGGAAAAGACCTTTAAAATAATGTCTCTGAGCTAGATGAGCTAGATGAGAGAAACTGTGAACCTAATGGTTTTTAAATCAAAGATGGAAAGCAGTAAAGAGACATATGAGGGCTGGGAATGTAGCCCACTTGTCTAGCACATATGAGGCCCTGGGTTCCGTCCCCAGGAACCACCCCCCACACACACACAAAAGGCAATATGGCATGGACTTCAAAAGTGGAGAGGTTTTAAGAAATGATAAAGGAATAGATTATCAGAAACAGAAGTGAGAAATGAAGGAGTGAAAGCTGAGAACATCAGTGACTTCTGAAGAAAGCTGTGACAAGGAAAATATTATTGTAAGAAACTAGTAAGAGTATTTGAGGGAAAAACTAAAAATGAAACCTATGAATTTAATATTCAGGGAAAGGGATAAAGTAAAAGGCATGTGATGTACCTTAATGATGGGGGAGAGGACAACTAGAGATTTTGATGAGCTGACTAATCCCAGCGTCTCAGGAAGTCTAGGTGGAATGTTGAGGCCATGACACCTTCTAAGCTCCTATTCAAGGTACTCAGTTTGCTGTAGGATACCTCAGATAACTGTAAGGGGAGGTCAGGAAATGGTAGAGAGTAATCATTTTGTTATGCATAAAGAGGCAAAGTATAAAAGAATGTGTAGGAATGTTATCATTACAAAATCTAAATACTTGTATAAAATTCTAGATAGAAGCAGCTGGGTAGAAAGAGCATCACACAATGCAAAGGACATGGATTTTGGAGCCAGACAATTGGGCTAACACACTCATTTTTATCATTTACCAGTTGTATAACCTTGAAAAGTCATTCATTCTTTCTGAACCTCAGTTTCCTAAGAGGGAAAATGAGCACTATAATTCCTCACTTATGGATTATTTCAAGGTTGATATGAAATAATATACATCAATAATTAAGATAGTAGGTCTTCACCAATGGCATCCTCACCTTGGAATGAAATACAGAGTAACCTGAGGAGATAGACAGTTAAATACTGAAACACTTTTTTTCTTTTTTTTTTTAATTAAATATTCACAAAGTAATGAGCACTATGCATTTATTTATTAATTAGAGGAATACATATAAATATGTAAATGTGAATGTTCTTAAGTAGAATATTGCAGAAGAATGCTTACTGTTACTTAATGAAAACCAAAAATCCCAAGTAATGAGAAGTGAGAAGTGTTTTATAGGGAGGAAGAACTGTAGACATTCTCATAAATCTCTTCCATATGTTCTGTTGATTTTTTTAAAAGAAAAAATTATTAGATAAGTTTGGTATATGACCTAATTTGAATCTGTATGCCATCATTCGTGGTAAAACACTTCAATTTAAATTTCCTTCCTCAGTGCTGAAATGACCCACATTCTGACTAGTGGAAATTATTTTCCTGCTCCTGAAGAATGAGTAACACTGTTGTAACTGTAATCAGCAAAGATTTTTGCAGTTAAATTTTTTACAGATTACTTTTTGAAATTGTTTCACATTTTGTTCTCAATTTTTTTTACAAAGTCAGTTCTGCTAAAGTCTCATAAAAATGATGAGACAGAGATCATTAATGTAATCACAAGAGTAGTTGTTCTTACAAAATGATAGAATCAAAGGGGATTAAAAAGTAAGACATATTTCTTTGGGACAATTTTTAATATATTACTAAGGAGATAATACAGTCTATGTAAATAATTTTCAGTACTTTAAATAAAATCTATTATTGTCATCAAATGTGGAACAAAACATTTTTAAATGATTAAAACAAACACATATCAAATACCTTATCTTCTTTAAAGGAAATTGTTTTGATGACAACTAATAATTTCTCTGGTTGATACTTTTGTAGATTTTTTTTCTCTAAGTAATTTTAATAATTTTGGTTTTTTTCTTTCATTAAATGTTTTTGTAGCAAATCTTATCTATCTAAAGTAATTCATTTTGGTCAAATTCCCAATATTTTTAATAAAAACATTCAAAATAATGTGACATAAAATTTAGGCATTTTTGTATTTCCTTATGTTTCTATTGATATGTTACTTTTACTATATTTACTAAACTGCTAAAATTATTCCTTATAATTTTCATGTGTTTCCCTTCTTTTTTCCTTTAATTCCTTTCAAAGGCAGGGTATAGTAAGGTAAGTGTTTTATGAAAGAACATTTTTCATTCAAATATTTACTCTTCATTCTATTTTGATCTTTATAGTATTTTCCCTATGAACTAATTAACTACATTTGTCAATAAAAAATTAAAAAATGAAGTAGGACAAATCCAACAAAGGAGTTATATTTTTAGATACGATAAATGGTTGGTATTATGATGAAGGTCTTCATTATGATTATTTGGTTTTACAGTAATGTTCTATATAACTTTACATTTTCCTTAACTTTCAGAGGCTCATAAAAAAACAGCTATACATATTTATCAGTGAGAGATTATTCAGTTTATAAATCTGTTATCTTCATTTAATAAACATTTACTCTACCCTTTAAAATAGGATAATATAGTATATTTGTATATTTAATAAAATGGCCTGGATAAGACAGACTCAAGGGGTGCTTTTATAGCTACCTTCAGTGAGATGAAAATGTCCTCAGAGAGTTTCTGAAATGGGACATTATAGAAATGAATGGTCAAATTTTAGAAGTAAAAAAAAAGTAACACTAGAAAAATGTTGGGAGATAAGGATGAAAACAGTAGATTTGAGATCAGATTATACATACACTCAAATAGTAGGCACTCCTGAATATTTGATGGCATGAATTAATTATCTGTGAAATTCTGTGTTTTAAGCAAGTAATGTGCAAAGATGAGTTCAGAGTATGATACACCCTTTAAGGAGGCCCACATAGTCTTATATTATTTTAACAGCAATGAAGTATACAGATCTAGCCTCATACCTACCCTAGCTTCATCAGTATCAATCTCTGCATTGAAGGGGACACTGAGAGTTGACAGTGGTGTAGTAGAAAACACGTGATGAAAGAAAGTTGGGAGGCCACTAAATATGAAGAATAATCTGCGGATCACTTATTTCCCACAAGAAATTAAGTAGAGATATAATTGCTGTCTTACACCCTGTCACAAGCAGGATTCATGCACTTTAGCTGACCATTTGTCATGAGTGCTTATAAAGCCATGTTCTAAATGTGTAAAGAAGACTCCTGATTTCAGAGAGAGGGTAGATGAAATGACTTCCAATTCTGTTACAGTTATTACACTATTAAGGGAAGTTTAAAAAAAATATTTACTAGAAAAATCCCAAATCAGCGTGGTCCTGAGTTATTCATTCTTTTTGTGTGAATTTGCTGACTGGGGAAATCTCTTAGCTCAAAATAAGGGGCTCCTCAGGCAGTTTCTTTCAAAGAAGTTCCAGTGCTACCAGCCCTTTAAGTTGGTTAAGATTTTATTCCCATTTTTTTATATTTATTTTTTAGTAGTAGTTGGATACAATATCTTTATTTTATGTATTTACCCTTTTATGTCGTGCTGAGGACCGAACCCAGGGCCTTGCGTGTGCTTCTAGGCAAGCACTCTTCCACTGAGCCACCATCCCAGCCCTTTATTTCCCATTTTAAGAATAAAAATAAGCTTAAATGTTTTGTTTGAAAGTCATATTATACAATCTGAATAAGAAAAAAAATAAGAGAGCTGGGGGTTGTGTCTCAGTGGTAAAGCTCTTGCCTCAAACATGTGAGGCACTGGGTTTGATCCTCAGCGCCACATAAAAATAAATAAACAAAATAAGGATATTTTAAAAAAATAAGAATGGCAAGCTTTAAAGTTTATAATATAGAACATGTTGCATTCTATTTTTTCACCTTTCTTCTGATTTCCCTGCCATTAATGTCATAACTGAATCATTTCTTTTTATGCAGTAATAAAATTGAAGCAACAGGCCTTTCATATAATCAGAAGAGTTTATCTTCATTAAATTGATAAAAAAAACTTTACTACTTTATGTATGAGTGTTTTAAATTCAAATTTGTGTTGTAATCTTTCTCTTTTTTTTTTTTAATCTGCTGCTGAAAAGAGGTTCCAGGTAATCTTCTCTTTGTCATACTCACAAGGCCTGATTTTATGTTTTTATCATCTTTTATATGTAGCATTAATGAGCTCAGGTTCTTGGTGTTCTTTACCTCTATTCATAGTTTTCCACATTTTTCCCCTTTGGAACTAATATCCCTGAAATGAATAGAATCTTTTGAGGGGCAGAGCAGGTACAGGGATTGAACTTTGGGGCACTCTACCACTGAGCCATATCCCCAGCCCTATTGTATTTTATTTAGAGACAGGGTCTCACTGAGTTGCTTAGTGCCTCACTTTAATGAGGCTGGCTTTGAATTCTCAATCTTTCTGCCTCAGCCTCCTAAGCTACTGGGATTACAGGCATGCAACACCACACCCAGCTTAGAATCTTAATTATTGGATTTACACTATATCAGTAACTACTAAAACTTGATCCATTCGACTCATATAATTTTACAAGTGGTTTACAGTATTACATGCTAATGTAATAAGCATTAAAATATTCTTAATTGTTATGAAGGGTTGCATAGATTAATTATCTGTTTATTGTTTGAATTAACAACTAAAGCTGTCATACTAACATTGAATAAAGTTCACCAACAGAATTGACTTAGAAGAAAAAACCAAAGTTCCTATCTACTAGATCCTAATAGAAGTAGTTTTAAATGTTTTATTTTATGAAGGTTTGAAGCCAAAATTTCTGTGATAACTTGTAAAGTTGTTTATATATTCCTTATAAGGGCATTTACTTTTTATGATACCAATTAGTTATGCTTATATATTCTGCATGCTGTTTCACTTTACATATGAAAATCTCCATTTGTTTGATATTATGTGTAAAATATAACACTTCACTTTCTTTTTTTAATTGTGTAACTTGACAATTTTGAAATGCAAATATATTTGAAAATATTTTATTTTAGGAGACTTATTTATAAATTTTGGAATTTTTTTCCATAAGAAAGTCAATTTGTATTATTTTCTGATTTGGTTGTTAACAATTTGATATTTTTTTTTAATTTGATGTACTGGGAATTGAATTTATGTGTGCCAGGCAAGAGCACTCTGAGCTACATCCTAGCCCTTTTTATGTTTTGAGATAGGGTTTTGCTAAGTTGCCCAGGCTGGCCTTAAACTTGCTATCCTCCTGCCTCAGGCTCCCAAGTAACTGGGATTTTAGGCATTGGCCATCATGTTCAGCTACAAATTGAATATTAAAATTTGGAGAGGGTTTCATGCATCATTGATTTAGATGCAGTATTCAGCTTATTAAGTATTTGAATAATTGGACCAACTTGAAGATGGTTATGCAAATTATTTTGTAGCACTGGCTACATGGTAAAAGATGCCTTTAGTAAACCAAGTGGACCAAATGTTAGCTCCCTCTTGTGGCCATGAGGTAGGAATTGGACTCTTCCCCCGCACCCCCGCCATGCTTTTCAGGAGGGAGCCTCATTGGAAATATCATTATATAAAAATGAAATTTTAAAGTAAAACATTAGTTATCAAAAATAAATATTTGTAAAATGGTCATTTGAGATAACAATAATAAACTAAATAAAAAATTAAAGAGTTTTAGAGAAAGCCTCCACATCTAAATGCTGCAAAATGTAAACTTGACATGCCTGTTAGTACTAGGATATTATAAATAGATTCTGAGCTTTACAGGGGGATAGATTTGAAAGCTACTATGTAGAGAATGTTGATAAATGTTTGGTGAATAGAGAAGAGGTGAGAACAAGCCCAGTGGCCAGCGGAGGGGCAGAGTCGCCGCCCGCCCCTGCAAGGTAGGTGGACCTGTGAACCACCAGCAGAACAGGGCCAGAGGCCCGCCATCCTGGTAGACACATCGCCCCGGTTGGGGGAGGGGCAGAGCCGCCGCCCGTGCCTACAAGGTAGGCAGACCGGCAACCGACAGACAGAACAGGCTCAGCGGCCTGCGGAGGGGCAGAGCCACTGCCTGCGCCTGCAAGGTAGGAGGAACTGCGACCACCGACAGAACAGGCCCAGCGGCATGCCGGCGTGGTAGGCACATTGCCCCAATTGGAGGAGGGGCAGAGCCGCCACCCGTGCCTGCGAGGGAGACTTTGCAACTATACAAGAGCAATATAAATATATAGGGGAAAATTCAATAACACAACAGTTTCACCAAGTAGAAAGAAACACAAGCAGTATGAAAAGACAAGGAAAGAAAGGACCACAAGCAGTGCAGGTCAACTCAACTTTAGAAGAGGTAATATCTGCAGCAGATGGAATGTCAGATAAAGAATTCAGGATATACATGCTTCAGATGATCTGGAGTCTCAAGGAAGACATKAGACAGCAAAATCAGACAATGAAAGATCACTTCGACAATGAATTACATAAACAAATCCAAGAAGCAAAAATCAACTATACAGGGAGATAGAGGTTATAAAAAACAAACAAACAGAAACCCTAGAAATGCAGGAAGCAATAAACCAACTTAAAAACTCAATTGAGAATACTACCAGCAGAGTAGAACACTTAGAAGATACAACATCAGACAATGAAGACAAAGTATTTCAACTTGAAAAAAACATAGACAGCTCAGCAAGACTGTTAAGAAACCATGAGCAGAACATCCAACAAATATGGGATAACATAAAGAGACCAAACTTAAGAGTCATTGGGATACAGGAAGG